ATGATATGTGCCTGTCACCTCAGCTATGCAAATGGTCTGGACCCCAGGCTGGGTCCAGAATAAACACAAAACCCTATCTCAAAAAATAACCAATGCATAAAGGACAGGAGGCATGGCTCAAATGGTAGAGCACCTGTACAGCAAGTACAAAACCCTGAGTTCAAGCCCCCCACTGCCCAAAACAAAACAAAATGCCCAGTTAAATCCTTGGCAAAATACTCACAGAGAAAGAAGATAATCATATTATTGGATGTTATTTGTCAAAGTGGGCACAATGTTACTCCCTTAGCTGTAAAATTATTATTATAGGCTGTATATTTGTTAAAGTTTTATTTGAGATGTTTAAAATAGTAGCTATTTCTAATATTTAAAAATGCCCTTTCTGTTCCCACTGTTTCTGTTGCAAAACTAAGAGGTACACTGTTAAAGAGGTCAAAGATACCTTGGTGAGTGAGTCCTGCAGCAGGTTGACTATTTACAGGATCAACTCCAGGTAGACAGTCACTGAACTTTCAACTGAAGGTGGTCAAAGGCCATTATTCAGGAACTAACCTGTCTTAAGAGATGGAGAAAAGGAAAAAAATCTCCACATAATAGATTCATTATTCTTTACTTTTAAACCTTCCTGAAATAGTACCTTTACTGATATTGGGTGTGAGCAACCTCTCACTACTCCCTTCATGGTAAGAGATAATCACATTGTCGGATGTGTTTGTCAAAGAGAGGACATGGCTTTGTCATTCAATATGTTCTTCACATCACAGTGTTTCAATGGAAACTCAATTCAGTATTTCAGCACAGGAATGTAATTCATATCATATACCAGGCTTCTATTCAATCAAGTCTAATGTCAAGATTGCTTTTTATACAGATGGATGCATTAACAAGTCTAATTTCACAGTCTTGTGCTATTTCTTAGCCAACAAAATTATGATCGACTTTCTCTGTAATTATATGTGCTGGACTAATGGTTTATTTACATTTGCAATCTCTAACACAGGTTCTCTGGAGAGCTATTTTTACATTAGTCCTTGCTTGTTGAAGAGTTTTGGGCATAAGAATAGTGTTAGTGATATAAAAACACAGAAGTAAAACTCCAAGTGGACAGAAACATATGCTCATTTAAATCACAGGGTGGACTTCTGATGTATTACTTTACCTGTCTCAACACCTCTCATTTTTCTAAGTAAAGTAGTCCCTGCTTTTGGACTGTAACCATTTATGAGGGCTACATGATCTGTCATCTTTCTTGGGTTGCAACCTCCCCTTCAATTTATAGAAATAGGAAATGATCTTGGTTCCTAGCTACAAAGATGGGCCTGGGACAGGGATGGAGACAGGTGGGTGGGAGAGACACAGGGCTGGCTATATCCCAAACCAGTTTTTCCCTGGAAATTTTCAACTGAATTGAAACTGGAAGGGATAATCTCTTTCCTTCCCTGTGGCAAAGTTGGGCAAGTGTGAGCCAGAAGCTACTAGCAGACATTAATGTAGCTCGAAGATTTACCAACTCAGCATTGTTACTGTTTTCAGTCATTTAATGCTTTGTTGTTGGGGACTGTCCTGTGCATCGTAGGGTGTTTAGCAGAACCCCTAGCCTCTATCTACTAGATGCCAACAGTACCCTGTTTTGCACAGAGTGGCCACCAGAAACATCTCTAGGCTCTTCTAAATGACCCTGGGGATCAAAGTGATGCCCAGTTAAAAGAATTAGCCTCCAGAAGAGAATGGTGCCAACTCATTCAAGAGGAACAGGGATAGGGAATAAAGACACAAAGAGAAAGAGGTCTGCTTAGGAACAGTTTTGCCCAAATAGACCCTTTCCTATATGGTTCTATATGGTTAAAATTAGCTGATCTATTCACATACACAATTTTTTTTCCTAAAGAAACTTGATTTATTCTTTTGCCAAATGCAGTAAGAATTCTGAAACAAAACTAGGAAAAGTCAGATGTGTAAACTAGGCCAAAGGGCAGTAAAAACAAAACAAAACAAATAAATCAATAGGGCTTGTTCAGAGCATAGATTTGCCTGAGTTTTGAAAAATTACATAAGAACTTGCAAACTTGTTTACAGAAGAAAAAAAGAATTGATTATGAAATAGATGGTTAACAGCATAAGTAGACGCCCAAGCAGATTCTAGAGTGACATAGAATTATCTCCAAGACAGCCTTGGAATGAGGCAAAAAAAGAGGAGAAAAGTAAGCTGAGACCTTTGTGTGTGTCTTCTGGGGAGCATACACGTCTGGTAATGAGTTCCTGTGTACAGTGTGTGCCTGTAGGTATAGGTCTGTGTTTGTACTTTTCTAGTTTTCAATAAATGGATCAAATAATGTCTCCTATTCCATCAACCACAAGCTTGAGAGACTACATGGAGAGTCTCTGAAAGTTTGAGAGGCTACATGGAGAAGCCCTGTCTCAGGAGCTTCTGCATCTATGAACCCAATTTAGTAATGCTTCCACGTAAGATATTAACTCTGGACCTGCTGACTCCCCAAGTTCATGTGAGTCCTCCTTTCTGTCCATGGCTTTCGCCTAAGTACAACCTCAGTTCCTACAGACACAGTAAATAAATTCCTTTCTTCCTAGGATCCAGGTCAAAATAACTAAGGAGTTAATCACTGAAACTTCTGTTAAGGTAAACATATCTTTAATTTTCCTCCAGGAAACTGTTATGAAAGGAGGGTGAGGAATGCTGAGGAAGTACCTTACTGCCTGGCTCCAAACAACTGCACAAGATAGACTTGTCTATTCACAGTCACCTTCCAGAATGCACTAAGCCGATCACTCATGCATGCCCCACTTAAAACCATCGTTTGTCCTTCTGTAAGCCTATATGCTTGGGGAAAAAATAACTGAAGAGCAGGAAACTTGTGTTTTGAGAAGGAGTTTATGCACCTTCAACAAGGACAACAAGGTTTCCAGTAACCATGCTGCCAGGTTACGAACAACAGCCACGTCACAACACATGTCACAACAAGCAGTTGGAGACAGTTATACGAGGACATCCACTGCTAGCACCATGGCATGAGGACTTGGTGAAAACTTCAAGACGGAGTCTCTCAGCAAACAGTGCTGATGCAACTGGATGCCTGCATGGGGAGGAGAGAGATCAGCCTGTTGCTCACACCATACACAACAATTAGCCCTAAATGGATCACAGCCCTAAAGCCCTTGGAAGAAAATCTAGAAGAGCATCTACAGAACCTCAGGCAGGGTGGTGGACTCTAAGACACCAAAAGCATGAGCAGCAAAGTTATACTGGGTTTCATCAAAATTAGAAACTTCTATAATTTAACGGGAATAATGAAGAAAGTGAAATATCATAACCTGATTGGGAATTTGCACCTAGAATATATGAAGAAACATTATGACTCAGTGACTCGGTAATGAAAAGACAAACAACGTAAGTTATATAGCAGGCAAAAGATTTTAATAGCCATTTCTCCAAAGTTGATGGGTGTGCACATGAGTACGTGTGTGCATGTGTGCATGTGTGTATATATGTGTGTGTGTGTATGTAAATGGGGGTGATGGCAAAAAGCACATGAAAAGATGCATTAGGAAAACATACAATTTTTTTTTGCAGTGGTGGGGATTGAACCCAGAGCCTTGGGCATGGTAAACAAGTGTTTTACCTCTGAGCTACACCATAACCTGAAAAATGCAAATTAAAAACATGAAATATCACTTTATACCACCAGGATTGCCATCAAAGTAATCAGAAAATATCAAGGGTTGGTGAGGCTGTGTAGAAACCAAAGTCCTCATACACAGCTGTGATGTAAGACTGTGCAGCCAATGTGGAAAGTAGTCTGGCAGCTCCTCAAGTGGTTAATGGCATGACCCCACAATTTCATGAAGAGGATGTAAAAAATACCAAAACAGAATATATTTATAGTAGGAATATAACTATATAAGGATTTCTAATTAATTAACTCAAATAATAGCTTAAATCTATTTTGGAAACTTTTTTTAAAAAATTAACTTTTTTAAATAAGAAAAGTTGGTTTTTAAATAAACTTTTTTTTTTAAATTGTGGAATTTATTTAGCTTTTCTTTGCAGGACTGGGGTTTGAACTCAAGGCTTCATACTTGCAAGTCAGGTGCTCTACCACTTGAGCGACTCCTCCAGTCCATTTTGCTCTGGTTATTTTGGAGATGGGGTCTCACAAACTATTTGCCTGAGCTGGCCTCAAAGCGTTATCCTCCTGATGTCAGTCTCCCAAGCAGCTAGAATCATAGGTGTGAGCCTCCTGCTTGCCAGGCAGGTGTTCCCCAGTCTTTTTTGCATTACTTATTTTTCAGGTAGAGTCCCATGTTTTTGCCTGGGCCAGTATGGACCATGATTCTTCAACTTAAGCTTCTCGTGTGCCTCATAGACAACAGGCACAGACCAACATGGTCCATTAATTTACTGAGATGGGGTCTGGTAACGTTTTGCCTGGGCTAGCCTCAAACCACAATCCTTCTGATCTCCATCTCATGAGTAGCTTGAATTATAGGCATTAGCCATCATGCCTGGCCATTTTTAACTTTTAATATCATTTACTCCAAACTTTTAACATCAAAATAAACAGTATTTCAGAGCAAATTATGAGAAAATAAAACTAAGTGTATAACATACTAGTTAACATGCTGGTCACACAGGAATCTGTTCCAGAGGCTTCAGCGACCAGGAGAAAAAGAACACACCACTGCCAGCCATTTCTTATTAAAGCTTTTATTAAAACTGAGTCTTTACAACATATTTAAATGTCATGTTCCATGGTCAAATATTTAAGGGAAAAAACTCTATATGCAATTATTGGCACATAAATTTAAGAACATAATCAAAATTAGGCTAAATCCATCTCTAACAATATAGATATATATCTATCTATACAATAGAATAGATCTATATATCTATAGAATGTATATCATATTATAGACCCATATATCTATATGGACAGACATATTTCTAGCTCCAAACTCACGTCAATGACCTGGAATACCTGAGTTTTCAAGTTGTTGGTTTTCCAGATAGTATTCAGTGTGTTTCTTCCACTTTATAAAGGGCACAGCCAACCCAGACAGAATAACATCGGTTGATAGATGCTGTCTCCCAAAGACCACGCAGAAGACCTCAATGGGATTAAAGTTTATCTTCAGAGTCTTCTTCCATGTGAAGGCCAGTCTGTGCTGTAAGGAATGATTCCCACGTAGCAAGGCACTGAATAATGGAAACAAACCATGAGCTCAATAGTAGTTCACTTTTAGTGTTAAGACCATTAACAAATCCTGATATATCTAATCCTACAGCAATCTGCTCTATTTCTTTCTCCCATTAGTTTTCAGAATTCTTGTCATTTCCTACATATTTTAGTTCCTAATATTGCTAAATAAGAGGAAAACATATCAAAGGTTAAATGATTAGTGATTAGCATGGATCAGTTTGCTGAAATAATCTACTATTACCTCATCAACAGGGGAGAAAATACAGTTCAAGTTTAAAGAGAAAAAATAATAGACCCAATTGGATCTGAGGCAGCAAACATTAGCATCTAGATAGGTGAGAGAAGCAAGGATGCCACAGGCAGATTTGAATCCCGGTATGTCAAGTATGAGTTTGAGAAAGTTGACTGACTTTTACTATAGTTTTTTTAGCTATAAATTAGGTTAATAACAGTACTTAGTACTTAGGTGACTGTAAGTATTTTGCTTATATGATCATTAATGTGCTAAAATATTTTCTACTAAATAATAAAATAAGAAATTATACCTCATATACCAAAAGATGTGAAATACAATCATGTAAATTTGACTATTAATCAAAAATAAGGAAGAAAGAGGAAAATGGAAAGAAGGAACATCTGAACAAAGAAAGAACAAATAAAAATAACAGCAAGACAACCAACTCAAGTCTAAGCATGTATGTAGTCAATTTAAGTGTCGAGAGCAGAGATACCCCAATAAATGAGGCAGATTACCTACTGAATAGAAAACAGACCCACCTGCACTAGAGTGATATTATACGTGAGTACATGGCAAAAGAAAGGCAATGATGACTACATTAATATCAAGGTATATTTCAGAGCAAAGATCTCAATTAAAGTTGATCATTTCACAATGGTAGAAGAGTTAATTCAATTAGATGATGTAATTCAAAACGTTCATACACACTATGAGGGAGTTTCAAAATACATGAGACGAAAAAGAAAAAACAAGGACAAAGACAAACACAATTATTGATTTTGATATCTCTAAAGTTCAACAGAATATGATATAGATTTGAATTGCATTATTGATTGAGATGACCTAACTGATATCTATAGAAAAAAAGCAGAATACACATTCTCTTTCGTGTGTACATATATCATTGACCAAAACAGACCGTATTCTGGGCCATACAAGAAGTCTCAATAAGTGAACAAGACTCAAGCCATATGAATTATGTTCTCTGAACATAATGGAAATAAATTAGAATAAGTTACAGAAAGATGTATCAAATTCCCCAAGAATTTGAAATCTAAATAGAACAAGGGAGGGGTCAAGGGAGAAATCACACCTGTAATCCCAGCTACTCAGAACACAGAGCTCAGTAGGATCATGGGAAGCGACCAGCCTGGGCAAAATGCTAGTGAGACCCCATTTCAAACAACAAACTGGGCATGGTTGTACGCACTTGTGAGCTCATATCCATGGGTGGCTGTGGGTAGGAGGATGGCAGTCCAGGCCAGCCAGCCTGGGTAAAAATGCAAAATGCTGTTTGAAAAATTCCCAAAGCATAAGGGTCTGGCTCAAGTGGAAGCATGGCTGCCTAGCAAGCATGAGGCTTTGAGTTCAAATCCCACAAAGATAACTCCATACTTAGAAGGTTTCCCTGACAAGACCCATGAAACATTTACAGAAGTTATAATAACTCTTATACAAACTCTTCCAGAAACCTGAAGACACAGGAAATCTTTCTAACCTACTAAAACCAAAGATATTATAGAAGAAACTATAGAACAACCTTACTTATCAACATAGATGTACAAAAACTCTATCCAAGGTTTTAGCAAAGAAAATCCAGCAGTCTGTACAAAAAATTATGTATCAAAACCAAATGAGGTTTACCCCCAAGAAGGCAAGGTTGGATTAATCTTTAAATGTCTACAACATAACTGACTATTATAGTAAATGTAATGTATCTCAATGACACAGAAAAAACACTGGCTAAATTTCAATGTCAATTTCTGATTTTACAAGTTTTTCAGTAAATGAGGACTAGAAGGGAACTTTTATATCTTGAGGAAAAGCATCTACAAAAATTCCATAATCAGCATCATATACAGATATGCAATAAATATTAGCTGTTTATTTCTTGTTAATGCTAAGAAAGGAATTAAAACTCATCTTTATAAGTACTCATAACTCTCTTATGCCAAATGGAAGGAAGGAAGGAAGGAAGGAAGGAAGGAAGGAAGGAAGGAAGGAAGGAAGGAAGGTAGGACGGACTTCAAAAAAACCTATCTGCAATGCTTACAAAGAAAGCAACTTAAGACAGTGAGAGTGGTCCAGGTAGTTAAGCACTTGTCTAGCATACAAGACACCCTGGGTTCAATCCCAACACTGCCAAAAGCAAAATTAAAGAAAACTATTAAGGGGATTGGGACTGTGGAGACCAGACTTTCTGCTAACCCTCTTTGGTCTCTTCTCTGCAAATCCACACATAATCTGGGAGCTGTTAAACCCTGCAGGGCAACCCAAAGAAATTTCCACTCTCAGAAAATGTCACATCTTTCTGACAACTCAGCTCAAATACCATCTAAATAAACTTCTGAACATCCTCAAGGTAAAATTCAATGTGAAATTCTGTGCAGTCTGCTCTGTTTAGAATTCTGGTGAAACAGTGATCCAAATTGCACTAAAGTTCTCACAGGAACACTCAACTCTGCCAGTTTAATAAAGGCTGTAAGAGTTCAGTAGCCATCCCCGACTGAGTGTTGTGAATTAGTAGGTTTAATTGCTCCTCTGCCTTTTGGCTAAGATCAAGTCTGAACTAGTATTTTCATTTCTAAAATGAGCATAAAAGGGACAGTTGAAACATGGTAAAGGAGAAAAACGATCTGTCTAGAGATCTCTTTATCATTCTTTATAGCAGAGGCAAAGAGAATTTATGAATTTTGAAATACTGTACATGCTAGAATTAGCATCAAATAACACTAACAATGTAACAACAGGCATTTTAATGCTTGCTTTATGTATCACCTTCTCTAGAGGACACAAGGACTCTTACAGAAGGGATAGTGGAGGCTCATATGCTTTTGTGCATTTATGAGTTTACAAGTTTCCTAAGTGGTACAGCCAGTGTTTATTCATCAACAAATGGAGAATAAGCAATCTCCTGAATCACCTAAGGCACATAATAAGCCACTGGTGAAGAGGGTGAGGTCGCTTTCTTTAACCCAGTGGCAGAAGGACAATTTTGGAAGGAGAGGTGGGGAAGAAATGTATGATTACGGAGGTATCAGGCTGATGAAGTAGGAAAGAGTATATATAAAAGTTGGCTACACAGAAAATGATTCCCTGCACACTATTTTACTGATCTCTGGAGCTGTGAGCTATGTCCACTGAAGGTGACTGAGTTAACACACACTGGGCATACGACAAGGTTCAGTAAGAGCCAATGATGACAGAGAAGGAATGTATTGAACAAACGAAGCTAACATGTCACTGTCATCAGAACTGTTTTTCTTTCTGAACAGCTGACCAGTAAGTTTTAGGAGCCTGAGAAGCGAAGAATTTGACCTGGAATTATGCAGCTCCTGAAACTACCAGAGCTCCACAGGAAACTTGATAGCAGATATTTTACTAAATTAACTGCTCCTTCCAGAGCTACCTGATATTCTAAACATATGTCAAATTAATTTATATTTTAATAATAAAATAAAATATGCTGTAACACCCCTTAGTTCTCCTTTTTCTTTCTTGTTTTAAGTATGAAAACCTAAATTAAAAATTCAAGAAATGGATTTTTTATTAGCATATAATAGTTGTAGGGGGACAGGATACAATGTGATATTTACATATGTGCTTATAATCTATCTTAATTAGATTCATCTCCTCTGTTGTCTCCCTTACTCCTCCTCCCCCTTCTTAGAACAATTTTAACAGGTTTCATTCTTCTATTTTCATAAGAATACAAAATATACCCACCATATTTGCCATCCTTCACCCTTTCCTTTTGGCCTCTCTTCTACCACTGGTACCCACCTTTGGAAAGGACCTGTTTTACCTTCCTGTCCTTCATTTTTTTTAAGTGTATTTTCATAATTCGAGGGAGTTTTGCCTTGGTAAGGAAAAGATTGTTTATACCACACAGTTAAACAACTTAGGTCTGTGACTATCTACTACACTCAGCATTGTGCTAATTGAAGATGAATCATTAAACTAACAACAAAAAAATCTATGTAAGGATTGCCTTTGTTTATAAATTATAGTTTATTTATTTGACTGTTCATAACATCCTCCAATGGGATCAGATAATTGCAGTTTGGGTAAGAAAATGGAGTCTCAGTGCACAGTGCTACCTTCTCCCAGGCTCCCTATGAAGCCAGGGTGAATGCTCCTTCCTGCTCAGGTAGGATAGGCTGACAGAGATGCCATACCTGCTGTTAGCCAGGATGTGGAGGGCTGGAAAGCAGGTGTATCTCAAATCTGTATTAACTGAGAATCCAAAATGATTATGGTGACAATTATAGGACATGACTGTAAAGGGTGAATGCTGTGAGGGAGGGATCAGTGGGAGGGGTAGGGGAAGAGGTTTGAAATCCCCTACATGTATATGTTCAAAGACAGAGTAATGAAACTCACCAAACACCGACTAAATAAGGGGGAGGGAGGAGTGGGACTATAAGGGAGGGGTGAACTTGTTCAAAGTATACCGTGCACGTGTACAGAATTATCACCATGAAATCCCTTTGTAGCATTAATGTACAGTAATTGAAGATATAATAAAGCTATTAAGATAGTGTAAAAGGTGACAACAAGGTCGTTACCATAGATGCAATATAGCTTCCCATGAAAGTGTCCACATGGAAGAATGAATATTGGTATCTCTTAGCTTGTGGTGGAGGAGGAGTTGGGTATGACAGTGTGGCTTCAGGCAAACCTTTTCACTTCTCAAGGCCCGTTTCCCTTTCCATAGAACAAGTGGATAGTCCATTTAGTTTCCTCCCAGAACTAATA